ACTAATAAATTCTGAAAATAATATGAATTTGATTGATGTTTTAAAATAAAACTTCCCTTAATTTATTTTTAGTTTTTTCTTATGACAACACACAACAATTACAAATACTATTAAAGAAATAAATAAGTATTTTTAATAAGTGACCATCTTTATTGTGGTTCATCACGATTTGTCTTTAAAGCAGTTGACTGCTTGGAGTGCAGCAGCCGACTTTATATATATAATTGATTATCAACATCAAATATATAAGTCATGTGTATTTCACAGAAATGTAAATATTTTCAATTCAAGAAAATTTTTCGAAACTTATTTACCGTTTTTCTCAAAACATAATTTTCAACTGTAAAAACTGAAACGCCTTCCTCATAATTTCGAATGTAACCGATATCTTTTTTTCGTTTTTAAAATCTTAAATAAAAATAAACTTTTGTGGGAACAGATTTTTTTATACTTGATTTTTGGGTTGAGAAAAGTGAGAGGGTGTGGGTGTGGGTGTGGGTGTGTCGGTGTGGGTATGTGGGTGTGGGGTGTGGGGTGTGGATGTGAGTGAAATCCGATCCAATCTACACCAACACCAACACCAACCCACAGTCACACCCACACCCACCCCGCCCACATCTACACCCTTGGTCCCAGGTTTGATCTGAGTTGCCATCATTATTCTTCTACGATGGTCTTCACCCAAATTCAGGCGAACGAAATCTTGGACCGTTGTTGAATATGAAATAACAGAAATTAGATTAGAACGAGTGAATAAATAATTAAGAGGCAAGTGTACATACCACGAAATCATATGTAACGATAATCATTGCCGAATAAAATATAAAATGTATATGAATCGTGAATGAACTTTAGTTTACAAATGGATATGTTCACTAAACTGATTACATCATTCTCAGTGTTATATTGCCGATGTTCCAGAATTCATCATTAATTTATTTTATTTTATTCGGTAACGTCTTTACTTTATATTTGTCTTTCTTCGTGTAATAGTCAAGATATTAGAAGGAACCTTCAATCATGATTGTTACATACCGAAATAAGCAAAATCATCTAAGCATAAAATATCTATAAACTTCAAGGTCAAACAAAGTGGGTCATAAACGATTGTATACGGAGAAAACGGTGGTTTACAATTCTTGTATATGGAGTCCGTATATGAACTCCGTTTTTCTTCGTATAGAATCATATTTTCAGTATACAAACCCGGAGATATACGATCATAATACTGTACCACGTAAATTATAATAAAATCACACTCGGGTTGAATAAAAAATGCTCAGAAATTGATCATTTTTATCAACACGATAGTATTTGAATGGACATGTTTATTGTTCTATTTCATAAAGTGTTGAAGTATCACCGTGAAAAAGACACAATAATTTATGCAAAGCACTGATTCATACATATGAATATATTTTTATTTGAACTGTTTTCCAATCCCGACTAATATGCGTATGAAACAAATTAGAATGAATGACTCTGTGGTAGAACATTTCTTGCGTCTAGATGCGATTCACTTCAAAATGGCGTCTGAACACGTTTCAATAGTTTTTATGAACTGCACATAGACGTAAATCTTGACAAACATTTTCCCGATCGCAATTAGATGTGCTTCGCCAAAGAAACCGCGTTTAGATAGATTTTAAGATATTTCATCGCTGGTCTAGACGTGATTTATAGTAAAGCCGTGTTTTGTATTTACATGGGCTAACTATGGCGGTCACCATGTTGTTCTTTGGGAATTAGGTGCTGGCAGCTGGACACTTATTGTTGGTACTCCCGAAGTAACCTGTAACTCATCGATGACGTTCAATAGACCACCGAGCGCTACGCTAGATTCGATGAGAAATATGTATATAGCCAATACGACCAATCATCATACTCAATTCGTCTTGTATGATCAATCGACTGTTATCATAATAGCTGGTACCACAGGTATAGATGTTACTAATCCTACAGAACTGAAGTGACTCTATTAGAAAATTATCGATATTCGCTACAATTTATACGTGAGTGATACTTATAATCATCGAGTTCAAAACTTTGCGTATTTCTAATGTCGAAATCATCAGAAGTAATTTTCTAGAACATCAGCTCTCAGCAGCAATGTACTTATGTCTTCAATTCACATGGATCCGCTACCTCCTGAAAACCAAATAATGTAAGAACTATCTCTACTGTAGCCGTCTGGGCATCTTTATTGGTGCCTGAAACGGCAAGTTAGTTACAAAAATCAAATTGAATATAGTATTTTCAGTCACTTTAAAACCATCTAACTAACTGACGCCGTTATAGAGTTATTGAAAATTTTCTTTGTTTGTTCTGGAGATAGGGCAAGAGTGTGAGGTACCTATGTTGTTGATCGAAAAATTTTTCTCGACACACATTTTGTTGAAAGAACTTTTGGTTGACAAAGTATTTCATCAATACAGTCAGATGAAACATCGATGATAATAACATAATCGACTTGATTTTATAGAGAAGCATACTTCGTATAACATAAGGCGTGGGTGTGGGTAGTCTTTTGATGTACATCCACACTCACACCCACCGTTGAACTGCGCACAAATGGCTAGAAGACTTTTTGGCATGATGACACATGGTGTAATAGGAATGAGTACAGACGTTTTGTTTGGACTGATGAAACGACAGGTACAGGTTGGATGCGGCACAGTCAGAACAAAAGTAGCCATTATTTCTTTTGTAAGTGAAATGGCTAACTCTTATCATTATAAGCACAAGACTAGCAATTTTCAGTGTTTCTGATAATACATTTTTGATTTTCGAAAAGTCAAAAATCCTAAAGTGTCCTAAAATACTGATTTTAACACCCTGAAAGTATTGTAGAATACCTTTTCTGGCTTTTAGAAGTCTAACCGTATTTTCAGAAACTGTTGGGATATTATGAGAAACAAATGTTGCTAGAAAAATGGAAATTGTACCAGAAGGGGTACACGAAAATACTTTTACTGTCTCTGAAGTCTTTCATAGGAAACTGAAATGGTTTCCAACGTCTTGAATCTCAAGAAGGTATCATGAGGAACTGAAGTCGGTTTTCGAATTTTTGTTTAAGATTCCAAAAAGTTTTAAAATGTTTAGAATATTTTATAGAAAGATCGTGATCAGAGCTCAAAGCTTCTCATAAAAACAGTTTAGGTGCTCGAACTTTTGTTTTTAATCTTTGTTTTCGCTCAATCTGAAACAGTGATAGTTACCTGAAAACTGCTCACATATTTACTATAACGTATTTAATTATGGATCATTCTGTATGTGCATCATCTTTTATCGAAACTTGAAACTATTTCTTACTCCTGGAGTAATCCTATCTCATCTTTACATTTTTATGTTACCCTAAGTTTTGAATGTATGCGGAAAAATATAATGTTAACAGTTTACCAACACAATAGTTATTATTAGTGTCAAAATCATTTTTTTATCCTTGTCGATTTTCATTAAATGGCATTAAAATAACGACTTAATTTAGTCATTTTAGTTTTCAAAAGTTGTAGAGAGTGAGAGCATCAGAAGCTTCTGGTCTCAACTAATTATTATAACTTGTCCGTTCGTAAAGAAACATATGATTGAAGATTCTCAAATCAAATGAAAAGCTTCAAGTTGAGCAAACATATTTACAGACTATTCTCATTCACGTGACATCTAAGCAATATGTGCGTATACTGTTCTGGAGAGACCGATGAATCATATTTCTAGAACTGTTTAATTTTTAAAAAACTGATAGTATCTTTTCTTTTTCGCTTTAAATCATTAACAAATTCATCCACAATGTAAGTCTCATTTGGATATTTAAAAGCTAACATTTTCGTTCCTTTCATCTGAAATTTGCATAATCATCGTACAAGTCGTAAGTTGTGTATGCAAATTAAAGAACTATTTGTCGCTTTGGGTTTGTTCTCGGTTCAGAAAGAGAGGATTAGAAATCCTTTATAGATTTTTTGGGATACGGTTGGTTTTAGAGAGTAAATGAATCAAATTTCCACAGGGAAAGAATTGACATGGTCGAATGTGATGAGAATCATAATGTCGACTTGCAACACATTCTCACCTGGATGGGGTTGAGTATGAGTGTAGGTGGGAGTGGATTATGCATATGCGTGTGGATGTCGGTATTAGCATATGTTCAAGTGAGCACTGGCACCCACACCCTCTATCTAATGATTGAATTTCAAGTCAAAATCCAATGGAGAAAAGGTTCGCAATATCATTTACAAAATGTTGACCATATCATTCACCTGATTGATCAATCAGATTTTGACTAATTTTATGAAGAAAATAATTTTCTTTCCAATGCTGAAAACCACAGGTTTCTATCTTGTTGCTATCAAACGGTATTAAAAAAATAACCACCTACATTATATTTCGGCATCGATATTAGTCAAAAAATCTCATGTTTCTGATATCTGACTGAAGTTACATAAACAAATAAGAATTGGGTTATCATATGATTGAACATGGTCATATGTATGTGCCTTGGTATACTTGCGCACGATCTTTATTTTCTGAAGGAATAAATAAGTAAAATAACTTAAAATAAAAGGTTATATATGAGTATAGAGAACGAGAAGAAAGGAAAGCAAATTAAAAAGAATGATGAAATACGGATAGAGGATAATACATAGATAGTAGACCTGTCTATGTACAGCATCACTGTAAAAAGCACAGCCTGCAATTCGTTAAGAAAGCATATCTAAAAAAAAAGCAAAGTTTGTTATAATGTTTGGTATGCATAGCAATAAAATGAAAATGTTTAAAGTCTCGACTAAGATCACGTTCATGTTTAAGGGATTAGAATATATTCTGGTACAGCAGCTGTGGATGAGCCACATTTAAAACTGTTTGTTGTCGTACAGCCAGGATTATTTGTAGTGGAATATTCCTAAAGATTAGAGAAACGTATCAGATTAGTAATTAGTCAACAAAGTAATGCCAATGCAGCTCACATATGCGCCAACAGTCGGTGTTGTGTTGGATCGTTTCATTCAATTGTAATCATAAAGCACTTGACGCAGTGGATTTGCACCGTTATTGATCAGTAAAGAGTTTACTGCTGGATAAAGATTATTGGCTGCAGCATTGAAGAAGACATTGTTGGAGACTGTGAACGTTCCACCTTGTTGAATACCTGTAGCACTAATAGTGCCATTGACAGCATTATTATAAATTGAGGCACCTAGAACAATAAACAGGTTGGAACCTTCGAAAATACCTTGCTAGTATTTATATAAACCTACCTGCCAAATCATTTGTAGCCTTGATTGATGGTTGACTTTTACAGTATAGTACATTGTTGGAGATTGTAATATTCTTATTGGTAACACCATTTAGACGAAGACATGCATCCGCTTGCGACATATAAACAGTATTTCGACTAATTGTTACATTTCGAATATAGTTGTTAGCAGGATTAATCGAGTTCTGTATGACACCAATTCCAGCAAGATCTAATAGTTGAAAATCAATAAAATCAGTAGTTTTGTTGACTATTCGTGCTCCAGCTTTCTTAACTTTTCTTTTTTTGTTCAGCAATATGCTCTTCTTTGAAAAGAAAGATCTTATTGCTCCGTCTGACGTAAGATGAATAAAAATGATCTTCCGACAACGGATGGAAAAAAGTCTATTATATTTGACAATGTTTTGGTTTTTTACAAAACTTTTCCTGTCAATCATTCTAATAAAATTTTATTTATGAAGCTATAGACATCGATCAGTTGCAAGATATTGTGGAAAATGTTCGACTCAAAATGACGCTCACTGTGCTCATTACAAGATTATACAAGCCTATTCGAAATAGCACAATTGATGCTTTCCTATCGGGATCTTGTACGTACTGGCTGTAATCACAATATTATTAGTGATTGTTGCTCCAGATGTGCATTGTATTCCAAGGTCAGCTGTTCCAGCACTGATTGCTAAATTTCCGTCAATTAAATTTCGTCCACGATCATAATCATCATAAACGACAATACAAGGCCCAACTACCTTGTAACAAACATTATTACGAATGATAACATTGTATGAACCAGTCTAAAGAAACACAAAGTTGTTTAACAAACCAACATCAATCTAGGCTTACTTTGACTTGGAATCCAGCTCTTGATCCTCCTGATGAACCAAGTGTATCATGACAGTAATTATGATCAATTACAGAGTCACGAATTCGGCAAGCGTCGCTAGAACATCCGAGATAAACGCATTCACCCGTTGTACTAGCTGTATTTGTAAAAATAATAGTGAGATAGTATCAAAGAGACAATTCATAATCAATACTTACCCAAAGCATTTGTATTTGTTATTTCACTATTTCGTAATGTTATATTAACATATTCATTGCCGGCATCGTTGGCTGAAAATGCTGTTCCAGTGGTGTTGTAAATGTAAATATTGTCGAAAATTGCATTCGTTGTAACTAGATGTTCAGTTAGAAAACAAAGTGAGATAGTGAAGAACATTGAGAAATCTTGAGTTACATACCAGCCGGTCCGATACGAACTCCTTTTGAACCTTTGGTAAATGCTATTCCTNTAAAAAAAAATGAATTCGCCATGTATCAAAAACATTATAAATTTCGCATGGTTGAACTTTGATCTTCCAAAATATTGTCCATTTTGAAAACGAAAAGTTCAACTATAAAGTGGTCATATGTAAATTGTAGAGCTTTTCACGCTGCATCTTATGGTATACTCTGGTTGTTAATACAATGTACTAGGGGATTGGATACTGCAATCCAAAACTTACTAGACCACAGACGATAACGGAAAAAGTCTTATCCAAAATTTATTATCATAATATTAGTTGAAGTATGATCAAATAGCATAGAAAAATAGAGCATTCTTTTCTCTATCAGGCTTATATAGAAAGAAAGATTTTTAAAGCTTACTATATGGCTAAGTAACGCCGTGATCAGAACTTTTGGTACACCCTAAGTATTTGCTACTAACGTAATAGTAAAGTGCCCACCGTAAACTTAGCAATAGTGTTTATTAAATTAACAAAAGCTGTTGACCTATCAGCTACAAAAAATTTAAGGCCTTGGAAACTTTGTTCGTCGAGGCTGAGTATCCATCTACAATAATATATTGTGTAAAATACTCTTGGATTATGTTTGGAAAGTGTTTGAGCAACTGTCATTTCGAAACTGCTAATATTGCACCATAATTCGTGATGGGATTATATTTCGAATATGATTTGATATTTCAATAGTTTCACCACTGCTCATTATGATTTCTTATTGACAAATGGAAAATCAATTATTTTATATGGTGCTGATATTAGCCCGATAACAGGATCGATTTGATTAATTGTAAGTCGGATTGAACATTTCAATCGTACTGCTTACTTTAGTTTGCCGTTGAGCTTCATTAAACTTCCATCAAGTTAAATTAAATTCACACTGCTCAATCAAATGGAATAGAACATCAGCAGGCACAATTGAAAAAAATTGTTGCTTAATGCACTCGTGCCATTAATTTGAACATGCGTAAGCAAGTGCTTCTACAATTACTGGATAGTCAAGATTGTTCTTCTTGTTTTCATTTTTACTATGAATTAAACCGTTCTAAACTATTTCTACATTATTAGGTGCAAGAATATCAATAACATACAAAAGAATATTCATAGTTCAATTAAGAAAACTAAATTAGATATCAAAGATAACTGATATAAAGGGATTTCCAGAAAAAAATCCTACTTTCTTGTACTATCATGTGGCAAAATGAGATAGAATAAGTTTTTCTCGACTCTATCATACAAATCTTGGTTTTCTAGCCAATGAGGAAAACTGTCTTTTTCATCTGATGCATCATTATTTTGACAATAACTGTTATCGTATGCGCTGTCAACCTTTTCAGGCGTAAGCACTGTCACTTGGCCGTGCAGTCATTAAAAACTTTTCTCTCATTTTATATGATAGTCGTGTTTATTTTTCTTTTTTTTCTAATTTAAAATGATATGCAGCACAAGTAGTTTGATTCTAGGTGGAAAGATAATGATCTCACCATAGACACATTAAAAAAAGGTTTTCAAACACTTTTAAGATCATTTGCCGATGATTTCCTACATTCGCCAAACATAGGTTTATCCTATTTACCTCAGCTATTTGAACTTCAATAAAACGGTTTTTTTAATCCATGCTATCCATGATAGAAACAAACGCTTAAGATCGAAAACAAACAATCTATCAAAGTATGATTTCATTCATAACAATATAAGAGCTAAAGATAAAGATCAAAGACAAATAACAATATATGAAATATATTCATGATTCATTGATAATGTTTATGAATTTCTCTATTTATTATAATACCTACGTGGTAATCATTAATCTTCGACCTATTTACCCGTATTAGTCGAAAAACATGAATCAAAGCCATATCAGTAATGCAGTTTTTAGTCAGTTTAGATAGAAAAATAAAGAGATGTATTGATGAAGTATCGAAATTATAGAAAATTGTCTAATTTTTTTGGTATATTTTTATGATAAAGTTATATCTGTCTATATTTGAATTTGAATAAAACTTAAGCGATTGTGTCAGTATTATTTTGTAGTACTGACAAGTTCTGTAAGCCTAACTAATTTTTAAGTTCATGGAAATCTATATTTTGATTATTGACTTTGATATGATGCATATGATTAGGTTATAGCTAGATCATAAATATTTAACTTAAACGTATGATAATAACCTAATAACTTATCAATCATTATAGTTTCACATTGAGATCACAAAATTATTACTTTCATAAAGATTCATTAAGTGACCTCTACGATCATTATTGATTAGAATTCCTAATGTCAGCCATTTTTCTAGATATTGGTAGCTTTTTCGAATCTTGAATTTTATATAGTGAGATGCAATTTGAAAACTTCTACGAGATGAGATAAAAAAAAAACTTTTTGGAAGGGTGATAACAGGAGATGTAAGAGGGTTCACACTAGAGAAAATGTGATCTTGTCACACCTATTTTTTTCATGAACTTGAATCTTCAGGATTTTATAACTCTAAACTTCAACCACAAATATTGTTTGTAATCTGTACTAGTTTCTAGAGCATATCAAGAGTCATCAGATGGAGCTTGAACGAATACAATCGTCCTAATTTTTATCGAGAAATTATGAAAATGTGAACTGCATTAAATTTAGAAGGATCTTAGATTGAGAACATTTGGATTTGTCAATAAAAATAAATACTCTTTCGAACTGTATAATTAAAATTGAAAAAGTTTAGGTCTGGTTAGTGTCCATAAGAATGTTCGGTTGTTCCGTGGAATATCTCTCAATGATATGCTTTTGCTTTATTTTATATGCCAGACATCTGTTGCCAACAGATTTATGGCGTGTTTGCTCCGATTTAATTCGTAAAAGTGTCATACGCCGATAGATATGCTTTTGAAAAAATACTACATGGAGACCATCGCATTGGTTTACTTATAGAATTATTTCGACCTTTTTTCACTGATCATAAATGACGGTGCGCAAGTGATCTGATTATTTGGTCTATAACATCTGCCTCCGAAACAGTGCTTCGTCTGCAGAAACATAAGATAATAGGGGTTTCTATCGCAAGTATATTTTGTTTTAAAATGAGCTTGATCAAAAATCGACATGTATGCGGATGTGTCCGTGGAGTGTAAGTCTTCTCTTTACTCACACGCATATCCACGTCCGCATCCGCCATCATTCACTAGCTTTCTATTGCATCAAAGAGTGTCCCAGCATTTATATTCGGGAAACTTTTTCGGGCGCTTCCTTCGATACGAGTTCAGTCTTTTTGCAAGCTAAAGTATTTGTGTAATGTTTAATAGTTGGATGACCTGATCTTAATGTAGCTGTGCCAAGTTCAACTGCACGTTCATAATATTCGACAGCTCGATGCATCTGATGCATTTGTTCATACCATTCGCCCATATAAAAATAGATTTGAGCAACTATTGAAGCCTTAGTAAGATTAATATGATGGAAAAAATCTAGTGCAAGCATATAATACTCCATACTTTTATCCATTTTTCCTTGGAACATGTAAACTCGGCCTATATTCTTTAGGATTGCACCGTAATTGTAATGATTTTCAGGAAGATGTTTAGTAATCATGATCTTATGCATCGATAAGTATTCTAAGGCTTCATCATAGCGGTTAAGTCGAGTGTATACAACGCCTAAATTATTGATTACAAAAGACAATAGTTCGTAATCTGTCGCTAGTGATAATTTAAGAGACAGCAGTGTACTGAGAATACTAGTATTCAATTCCAACGATTTGGCGTAGCTCTCTTCAGCAGCAGCCTTCTGGTCAACACTCATTTCATAATCGCCTTTGTTCAAATAAAGTAAAGCTATACTCGAACGGACACTAGCGATTGAAACATGTTCGTTTGGTAAATATCTAAGTTTGATTCGTAACGCTTCGTTGTAATGTTCCAAAGCTTCGTCAAATTCACTTCGAGAACTATAAATGTCGGCCAGTACAGTATGCGTACTTGCTACTAGCGGATGTGATAGTGGTAAAAACTTGAGTCGAATATCAAGTACAAGTTGCTCTCGTTTGAGAGCTAAGTTACTATCACTTGTCGGGTCAGCAGTCACCATATTGTTGAGAAAAGTAGCAACTAAGCACCAGTCGATATTCTCCGGATCAGAATCAGTTACATACATTTCCAATGCTTTTTCATAATAGTGAATAACAATCTCATTATTGGATCGAAGTCGACGATGTGCAAAACCTAAATTATTATAAATAGTTGCCAGACTTTTCCGATCAGTTGGATTGTATTTCAATTGCAGTTCTAGTGCTTGTTCAAACGATTGTAGTGCCAGTGTGGGCTCATTTTTGTAGGATTCACCCATTATGTTCAAGCAATGAATAGCCAGAGGCAAATTATCAGGCATTTCACTTAAAATCTTTTGGCAAAAAGAAATCGCGCGGCAATAATCGGACATTAAAAAGAGAATTTGTGCAAGATTGGCCAATGTTGTTGATTCATGTGAGTAAATTCCCAAGTACTCGCTCAGTTTATGCATCTCTTCCATTTCTTCTGTACTATCAATAAAAATAAGTTTCGCTAGCCACATATGGTTTCTAGAAATGAAAATCGATACATATGAATAATATTTTCAATAAATACTAACAATATTACTTACGATTGTTCGACAACGCCTTCAATACGAAACATAGCCGCTAATGAGAAGAGAACCTCTTGTTCATCAGTAAACTGGCTATAGGCACTGATATCGGCGAATGGATGTTGATTTTTCTTCGATAGTGTATTGAGATCAACAGTAATTTGAAACAGTACAGAGTGCATATTAGGAGGAGAACATCCATTACCTGCATATATCATGGCAACTTGACTATTCGTACTTGTCGACAAAAATGAATTGGTAGAGACTACTTTGCTAATGTTAGCGCGTAGTTTTGCAAAATCTTCCATCGTCATATATTGTCCACGGTATAGAGTAATTGTATTCATTTTATCCAAACGAGCGCGTTCTCTAAATCGAGTATGTAGAGAATCAAGTTGATTGTGCAAGTCAACAATGAAAAAGCGACACGCAAAAAGCAGGTCGATATTTTCTGTGCGAATAGCCTTGTTCAATAGCCGATATACGAACGAATCACTCGTATACCATCTTAACGCTCGAGTTTGATCGTAATTTCGCTCGAAATCATCGATACGCCTCAATTCGATCTCGTTGCCACAGTAAAATTCTCGAGCAAGTTTCAGAAGATCACATTTAGCTGTGTTCGATGGTGGCATTTGAAGAAGAGCGGTAACGAACAATCGAAACCAGAAGAAATCGCCTGCATCCTTAGTCAAATCGCGCAGACTTCTTTCCGATAAACATGACATTGGTATCGAATGAGTAGCATAATAATGATTGACATCATTAGAAAGTTTTTCATACAAAGATTCTTGATCGCAAAATGTACCACTAGATTTTATAGACGAATATTTGTCAATATTCTGACAGAAAACATACACATGTAGTACTTGTGGTAAATCTTGAATAACTGGGATTATTTGAGAACTCAGTTGACCGGATACAATTACAAAAAGATGCTCGTTGGGTACCGATTGAATATAATCAATACAACTGCCTATATGTGTAAATACTTTGAGAAAATTAATAATGCAACGTAAACGTGTTCGAGTAGTAAGATCTTGAGAATATTCATCGACCCATATCACAGTAAGTTCTTCGAGGTTGGTTTGATCTTTGCCGGTCAGCTTTGAACTATCAGCCATCAAAATGATCTGAAATATCAGGAGAAACATATAAAAAGAATATTCTTTGTTTTTTTCAAATCGAAATAATCAGTAACTTAACAGTAAAAACATATGAATTGCTTACTAGCAAACTGTCCAATACTTGAGAAGTTCCAGAAAATTATTATACTCTAAACAATGCATTTGAACGAAAATGTGTATGTAAGAAATGCCGGTATGATTGGGAATATAATGATGTCCTACTTGAAGAAAGGTTCATCACAATGTAATATTTTTAAGTTTAAGTTCGATTCTGGATCCTTAACCTGCAATTTTTGCACAATTTTTCTTTTAGTATGTATCTCGTTCATTTATGGCTATATCTACTGAAATAAAAAATATTGACCACTAACATCAATTTTCAAACTCTTGTTCAATGATTTTTTTTTCTTTATCTACAACAATTTGCAACTCTGTGACTAATGATAATAACCATATTAGAACCATATAAATTTTTTCAGAATTGTTTGAAAAATATTGACCGGCAAAATTCAGAAATCAAAATATATAAAATGAGAACAGACTCTTTCTATAGTCTTTGCTTAAAAATGATTCGCCATTTGGTACTTTGCTACCGAAGATGGCAACTTTTTGAATAATTGTGTAGAAACTTTGATTCAGATCAAGCAATATTTACTAAAAAACTTCAGAATTCTCATTTTCTGGCAATGGCTACAAAGCGTTATCTACTTTGTTATAATAGGTAGTAAAAGGGATGAATGTTTTCGAAAATAATTGAAAATTTCCAGTTCAATCTTAGGTTATTCAGTTATGAATAACGAAATAACGGAGAAGCTCACTTTTTATGATCATACTTGTAAAAAGCTATGTCTTATGAACTATTTTGCCATCGAAGACAGTTATATTTAGACACTTGCATGTTGAAACTGTAAAGTGTACTTGGAATAAAATAAATTCGTACTTAAGAAATTATTGAAACCTAGTTCGAGTAGAAAAACCATTGTTGAATAAATCAAGAGACTTCTGCGTGAAAATAAGCTTTACTAAACAGTGACCTTCTATCAACATTTCGGAAGACAGAAGTGTCGAATTCTCACTACAGTTCTACAGCCTTGATGCTTAGAAGAATATTTATCGTGATCTGACATCGATTTAAAATTGCCACCTAATTTCAAGAGTCACTTTTTAACGGATGATGATTAATGGAATGATGAGTATACGAGGAACACTACAAGTGAAGACCACATAAGAAATAAAAGAAGCACAGTACTGAATTTTGCGTGTACACTTCATTTGTCTCCTAGTTTATGTCTATGACTAATTATTATGAGTCCTCTTCTAACTGTTGTTAAATAAGTTTAAGTGTTCCCTAACTCACTTAGAAATTCTAATTTGTGTCCAGGCTAGTACTTATCGCGCTTCATACATGACTGAGTAGCCCAAAGTGTCTACTTTCAAATGCATTATAGCTCACTAATTTTGAGATAATATCTGAGAGATTCACAGGGTTTTTTTCTGAAAAGCTCACAATCCAAAAGCGTTTTTGAGCTCCATTACCATTTCCTAATATGGGACGTATGATCAGCGTACAGCTGCAAAATATGCACCAATGTTTGAGTATGAATGTGACTCACACTCAAAATCATTATGATTCATCCGAGTTAGTAAATCTTACTTTCGAGTTAATCAGTAATAAAAACTCGACAACAGAACAGATATTAGATAGAGTGATAAGTTTCTCATGCCGAGATTTTATCATCAATGAGTCCTAAAATGACTAAAATTTTTCAATAAAACAAAATTCTTTTTGTGAAATCTTTAGTCTAAAACATCCTTTAAATGAATAATGAAAAGACAAACAAAAATAAAGGTATTTACTTATATAAAAAGATGTATATTTAGGAATCTCACCTTACAGAAAGTTCTTGTAGTGTAATAGCATTCTCTGTTCTTAGAATTTTAGTGTTTTTTCGATTTTGTCATAATAAAGCACTTACCATCAAGTCATCATTATTTTCTTTGTGAGAAATTATACATTGAATCATACTTATCTTTTTAGTCATTTTAAAATGTGTACAGGTTTTGTCAATAAATATGAAAATCACCATAGTTCCACTGATGACTATTAAAAATCGCGCTTTTTATATGAATTCAATGTCAATCGCTGCAAGTACCGTAAAAACAAATGAAAAATAAGTATTACATAACCATATACATTCCATTCAGATCATATTTCATAATCTTTCAATCTAAAGTCAAGTAAATCTTATCCAATGAATGTTAAGTTTGACGATTTTAACTTGTATGCATAATAGTTTTTCGAACGAAACATGTTTTTAACGAAGTCATTCACTTCTATTCAAAAACAAAAACAACGCTACAGCCGAGTTTGTGTCGTCGCTTATATATTCATACCTTAACTGGTAGTACATAATTCGATTATAGCTTTTACTTTTTCTTTCCTTAATGATGCGAAATATACGCGACGCATTTTCATCTATTCACGTGCAAATATCACATACTACGTAGTATTCTTTTCTTTACATTAATCGAGAATCAAACATTGCTTAACAATTTTTTCTTTATCAGTATCAAGCAACGATGCATCTTAAATCTTTTCCTTAAAAAATGTTCATTGGCAAATTTCTTAACGACTATTGTAGCATGAAAGTCTTCCTAAATTATTTGATGAGCTGTAGCAGGCGAGAAGTAGAAGCTGCCATCGCCGTCCATGACAAACCAAAAGGAATCATTTTCAAAGATCACTAAAAGTCTGTGATCGTGACTAACATAATTAAAGCAAGAGGGAAAATTAAAGTCTTTTCTGACAAAGGTTTCCAAATCTATTCGAAACTCGTTAAACATTTTGAATATCCAGGAGTTCAAGTTCCGAAAATTCATGCTAGAATATTCCAAAAATCTAAAATTCCATGATGCGGAGATATATAATCACAAAGTCTAACAGTCAATATTAGCATACTGACCTGTCTGTCATAGTCAGTGGGGGTGTAGGTGATATGATGGAGCGGCTTTTTGAAAGTAAGGTATTTGTTTTAGAATAAGCCCATCACATCAACACTCCTCATCTTCATATACAACATTCATATTCACATTCTGTTATCCACTGTTCAAATGTTCTGTAAAATCACAATAAATTTTTCTTCACTTTTTTTTGCATTAAGAAACATTTTCAACAATTGTGAAAGCAAGGTATTGGTTTCTTCAAATTTCTGTTCAACTCTGGAGGAAAATTCATTCGAACCATTATTTCACTAGAATAAAATAATTATTACCGATCTTTTATTAACTGTTTATAGACGAACTTTTATTTATCACGATTGATTATACTAATACAACAATGAAAATATAGCACAGTATAGAAAATAAAACTTGCTGACAACCAACAACGTATTAATCTTCAATATGATCGATCATTAAAGAACCAGTTGTTGTTGTATCTATTTGCTAAAATCTATCTTACAAACTTTTTGAATATACTACGTGAAAAACAGTATATCTCACAAAGCATATATTGAGTGCATTTCTGAAGCTAGAATCACACTGTGAGATAAGCTGACTATTCAGCGTTGAAAATCCAAGACAACATATTCGAGTGAGTTTTCGATTATTTTATTAAAAATTTTTATAAATTTCAGCCTTAAACTTTTCATGCATATAGTTTTTTTATATCTTAACAGTCATTGCAAGCATAATTAATTTTGTTTGATATACTATACTTGCTTTATTATATTTGGTATTTTAAATAGTTTTCGATTAATTTTGTAGAACTTGAAAAGTGAAAAGATTCGAAACATGCATGAGTCAATCCAGCTGTCGATGTTGATCCCGGATATGTGAAAAAATCAATTGACTGTTATGGTAGTTTTCAGGAATTCAATGTGGTTTTCTAGAGATCCTCTGCAACACTGGTTTTCACACTTTTCTTGAGAAAACATTTTGCTTATGAAAATATGCTCTTGGATCTTGGCTATCAAACGCTGAAAACTGCAGGTATCTATCTTCTTCCTATTAAAAGTTATTCAAAAAACAATCGAGTTTCTTGATTTCGGGAACCGATAATAATACATGCTTTAATACATTCTATATATTGTATGTTAAATCTTGAGCAAAATAATATTAACGATATAATATTCGAAAAAAAAATATGAGAAATATTTTTCAACGATTTCGTATATAATTTAAAATATGTCAATATTGTTTTGAATAAATTTTTTGTATTGTTTATCAATCTATCATAATAAATATTTTTATTCTATGCTGAAAATTTAAGAAAGAATTTGAATTTGAAAATTCTTCAGTGTCTCTATGAAGATGAAATGAAATTTTGCCAACGCGAACCATCATAAATATTTATCCTATGGTTTGGAAACAAGGTTATTTTTTTCGAATCCTGTTTTAGTTTTAACTGTATTTCAAGGCTCGTAAATTTCGACCAGCCTATTGATTTTAGAACAAGGAGCATTAAACAAATGGCACGTAAATGCATAGCTCACCATTATTTGTTAACATTGGTGTATATTTTGAAAATTCGAACCATCATTTCAAAGTACAGTCATGAGAAACTGTTGCATGTGTGATTAATGAAAGTTTCTCAGTGAATAGATTATAGTGTGGTTCTGCTAGTGATAATAATCATACTGGCCTCGACGATAATGCCGATTGATTGAACAACAAAGACAACAATGTCAGGAATATGTTTCCGTAGAAATCGTCCGATTGACTCATCGGTTTTCATAAAATCATTCAATAATACAAACTTAAACATTACTTTTATCCTAAGGATATAGAACCAGGTCGCTTCTTTCTAAAATATTGCCATCAAAACAAACCTTTATAAGCATCAGGTGTCGAACATCTCAGAGAATGATTGTAGAATATTCGATAAATGATGAATTAACATGCTCTTTTTCATAAAAATCTTGTTGAAAGATACGTGTTACTTTCATATCGTACAAGCAATGATGACAGTTATAACTCTATTATTGAGTGACTTAACA